AGAGAAACGTTATCAGATACCGTTTCTGGTTCCCTCTTCTCTCACATATGTGCCTCGGTACCAGGATCCCTCTGGTCTATTGTGGTCCAATCAAAGGCCAAAGAGGTCTACAGATGAGCGATAACAATGGACCTCAGATCAGAGAGGAACAGAGAACTTCCCTGTTCAGAATGAGATCACATCTACTCCGCATTCAGAAGACTTACAGACGAGGAAATCAGAAAAACTGAGAGAGGAGAGAAGGCCTGCAGAAGTCTGGTAGAGAAATGGAGACACAAATTAATACAGACAGTGAAGACACATTTCAATTCAGAATACTTTACTCGTCCTTCAAGAGGCTTTTCAAGGCAAGCCAGTCTGCAAACAGAATAACAAGTAGAACATTCAGTTATACTTGTATAAACATGCAAATATGACAATGTCAGAAAGGGTGAAAATACACAAGGATTAGCTGGCAAATAATATTCAACACCACAAACGCACAGTTTACATGTAGAGTTTACCTTTCTAATGCAAGAGAAACACTGACCTTTTGCACTGAATACTGTCCTCTGAAACAAAATAGCTACTTAAAAAACATTTAGCTTATTTGGCTACAATAAATTAAAACATTAAAACTTGGAACCAGCAATTGTCTGCACAACTACCAATACATGTTGACTGCGATACGATAACTTATGACAGGATACGATATGATAGGATGGAAGATACTATACAACTAAATATGATACTTTCTTGTCCCCTTGGGGAAATTTTATGCTGCACACATGTAGCAACCTCCACATGAGTCTAGCAGGGGAGGAGAAAGATCTCTTAAACATCCAATATATTTGTGGACAGATAAAGGAAATTAGAGAACAAGCTTTCATTGCACATATTGTCTTTGGACAGAACCATGCTATGTTTTTTCTTTGTTAATGCTAAGCTAACTAGCTTCCAGACGTAGTTCAATGTTTACCGAGGAGACTTGAGTGTGGTGTCAAACTTCTCGTCTTAATCTCGACAAGACAGCTGATACATGTGTTTCTCAAAAGACTGATTGGTTTTTTTTTAAGGTCCACTCACAACACACTCTGTTGGCAATATTGTAAGAATAGACAAACTGGCTTGTGAAAAATCAGAATTATCATCAGTATTTAAGCTTTAGATATCAAACAATCCCAAGAGGACACGTCAATTTCAACGTTAACGATTCAGATATAAATTGTCCTAAACATTGCTAATGCGACTAGTGAAATTTGAAGACTACATCTCCCATGATTCCTTCCTTCTTTACTATGCTTTTGCTATTATTTTTGCTAAGAGACCCCACAGTCTAAAAACCAAACATTTCTTTGTGCTTTAATTATCATAAAAAACACTTGATTGTGATTACTAGGTTCTTGGAGCTGGACTACATGAACTATTTGTCCATGCTGGATAACTATGGACCTCTGTATGATCTCTGGGTACAAAAGCTATGTATTAGGGAATTGTCATATCCCTGTCTTAATGAAACTATCACTGTGTTCAACCTTTAGCAGAACATACAAGAACATCCATACTTTACAGTCAAGACCTTTACACTGAGCTTTGAGGAACCATATTTGTAGTGACTTTGACATTGAGGTATATTTCTTCTACAATCTGTTCTTTAGCTATCATGTTATGTGTCTAGGTCAATTAGCCGAGTCGGATTCTCTGTTTTGCAGATAATTACCCGCAGGACATCCAACGTGTCAGTCAGAGCCCTGCAGCTGCAGATCAGACTCAATTTATGCGTTCTTTTGGCCATATCTAGTCAGAATAATTGCTCAGGGTTTGCCTTAAGAAAAGGGGGGGAAAAAACATCCCTAAGACCTGTCTCTGCAGCAGACCACGCCATAAACGAGAGGAGGGATAAAACAAGGCGAGGAGGCTTGTCGAGCCGTGTGTGGATTCCTGCAAATTGTCTGTATGAAGAGCCTCTCATGTCTCTCATGTCACATTATTTTTCGGCTATGTCTTTCTCCTTCCCCTCTCACTCTCTCTCTATTTTTATCTGGGTTTGCTCCCGCTCTGTTTGACTCATCTCCGCCCTCTTTTTTTTCTCTCTTTCACCCTCTTTACCTCTCTGTTCGCTCTCCGTCTCCCTCTCTTTACCCTCCTTTTCTTTTTTATCTGTGCCATATGTTTGCCTCACTTGCCTCGCCTTCCCCTTTTTCTCTCTCCTTGGTCTGGGATCAGTGGCATCTAATGCTTTCCACTCTGCCTGATTAAGTCAGAGCATGTACCCTCTTTACATTATCACCCTCACACACACACACACACAGACACACACACACAAGCGTCCCCACAGACCTAATCAGTCCTTCACTTCTATCTCTCTCTCTCTCTCTCTCTTTCTCTCTCACACCACTCCAGACCTTATGAAAAAACATGAGCTCTGTGGAAAAGAAGCAGAGATGAGCAGACAGAGGGTAGATAGAGAGATACACAGAAAGAAAGGGTAGCGTCTGAAATAAAAAAAGAGAATATGTGGATTGATTGGAAACACAATAGAAGCAATTTATTCAATAACAAAGCCACCAGTCGCCAGTTGAGTATACGTCTCGGTGCCATTTTGTCCAGCGATACAAATATGTTTGCCAATACAAAGAACTCCTCCAATACCAATGCAGTAAAATGTGTTGAATAAAAACTGTTGCTATAAAACTACCAGTGTATGTGTGCATGATATGAATGCTATATGGCCTGAAACCTACACTGCAAACAAGTTAACGTTTGCAGCAATTCAGCTTGCAACCTCTCCTGATTTCCACTTCATCCGCATAACTTGTACACATATTTTGATTAAACAGTTTGAAAATTCCTAACATTAAAAAATACACTCTTACAGAGTCTTATAAGAAGTAAGGATTGAAAAAAAAAAAAAAACAAGTTGCAAGGAGACGGAAAGATGAGGTGGGGCCAACAGAAATCCAAAGTGAGGCTCACACTCTGCTTTTGAACAGGCTCAGTCAACATGCTGATGCATTCATATATAGCTGGAACATTTCCCAACAGGCATGAAACGCTGTGATTTATCTTCCTGCCACTCAGCGTGCTGAAAACTGCAATCCAGAAGCACTCGGTTAGCAGCTGAACGTGGCCGTGCTCGGCTGTCGTTTCACACAGCACCTAAATGGATGTTTTGTGCTGTAATGCACGTCGTGTATTACATTACTCTACACTCGTTTGTATCGACTCTACAGCCTCGTATGTTTGTGAGTGTGTTGTTAGAGCAATAAAGGGGAGAGGTGCCATGTTGAGTTGTGTGTGTGTGTGTGTGTGTGTGTGAGATAATATGTTACATGTGAAGTAAAGAGTGAGCACAGGCTTTATTGAATGTGTGTTTGTGTGTGTGCTTGTATATGCACAACACGCCTGATTATGATGATGAAGTCTCCCCACGGGACTCTCCCTGCTACAGTTCTCCTGTAAGTCTAATGAGAAGCTGTTTCCGTAGTAACCAGGTGAGAGCCGACAGCCCATAATGTCCTGTGGTGAGGAACAAAGGATGGGGAGAGGGAGGTGGATGAAGGGTGGAAGTGAGGGCGAAAGGAGGAGAGAGAAGTAACAGGAAAAAAAAAAATCTGGTTTGAATGCTCGATGTTTCTCTGTGTGTGTCTGTATTGATGTTTGTGCTTGAGGGGACTCTCTGTGTGTGTTTGTGCTTTAGAGGACTCTCTGTGTGTGTTTGTGCTTTAGAGGACTCTCTGTGTGTGTTTGTGCTTGAGAGGACTCTGTGTGCGCGTGTGTGTGCATGTGTGTTTGTGCGCACGCTACCTGTTGTGAGTGAGGACGCTGAATCTTTCTACTCAGCTCGGGGACCTGAATCAGTTCAGATCAATCTCGACCAAAGTGGTGAGAACAGAGAGGCTGCGCCGTTTGGATCTTCTCACATCGTATCAGGAACATTTCAAATAAATTAGACTTGTACGAGATGAAAGACAGAAAAAAAATTGTCTGGCGCTACCTGCTGTCAGTAATATTTAACTCATGTTTAGTTCTGTGAATTTGATCTTTCAGCAGATCATCCAGGACAGACTTGCAGTTTTTCAGAAAGTTCTGATGAAGGAGAGTTTGAAAAAAAATCAGAATTGGGGGTGGAGATTTGATTAATATTAATTGATGCTAATGTGTGTGCTAGGCATGCACGTTGTGTCGTCAGGTACCTACCAGATGGTTCATTTACGAACCGATCATGCAATAATTTATAAGCACAATTATTTCCTCTTTTTTTTTTCCCACCAGTTCTTGTGCTTGAAAAGTTCTCGAATCTGAACAGCTTGACTTCAATCATCAAAATCGAAGATGTAGTCCTTAGCAATGATGTTTGAGGAATCTTCAAAAAAGCACAATGAAGAGCAGTCTCCTGCTAAAGTATTATTGCAATTTATTAATGAACATTTTGTTTTCTTGTCTGGTCATTTGAGATTTGATTTGAAAAGAAGTCTGGCTGAGGCCTTAACCTTGATGCAAATCTTGACGGACAAAGCCCCGCACTATTCGACCACCTGAGGACAAACGGTACATCCTGTTACAGGAGACAGAGTTGAAGACTTTCACTTCTTTACCTGTGTACATCACAACATAATAGTTTCATGGTAAGCCCTCCTTATCTTTACTTTCTCAGGCTTCTGTTTAACGCCTCAAGGTCCAATTTTCCTGCAGGTTCAGTGAGTGAATGACACCTGAACTTGTGCTGGATGAAAAACTGAACGGAGCGAGATACAGGAGCCGAGATGAGGAGGAGGTTATAAAAAAAAAAATGTTCCTGCAGTTTAGAATCTGTCCTTCACATTTTATTTCAATTCAGCTGAAGTGTGTGTTTGTCTGTCCTTGGTGTGTCTGTGCGTCTGCATTTCTCCGACTGTGTGAGGAAAGCAATCGGTCCATGTTGTCGATCAGGGTCATCAAACCTTTTCTCCCTCGCTGCTCGTTCTGTTCTGCTTTTGTGTAACTTTTCCTGTCTTTTCTCCCCCCCCTCCCCCCCTCAGATCTGATTCACTGCACCAACGAGATGAACGTGAACATTCCCCAGCTGGCCGATACGCTGTTCGAGCGCACGGCCAACTCCAGCTGGGTGGTGGTCTTCAAAGCCCTGATCACCACCCACCACCTCATGATGTACGGCAACGAGGTAGGAGGCTAAACACACACACACACCCATTCACACTCTGAGAAACAGCCTTCAGGGCAGTCAATGAAGGCTGCATCGATAAGTCATGATATTACTCAAGTCTGTGTCGCCCACACGTTCATAAATACAAACATACATGCACGTCCGCATCATTTATTCATGTTCGTATCAGTGTTAGGATCAACAGTGAGGGGGTGAGAGCATATACATTGGACACATGGAGTGAATAATCGAAATAGCTGCAGAGTGCGGAGAAATTAATTAGCTCAAGCTGGAAGCAAGATGGGGGACAAGGATAGAAGCAAATGAATAATCAAATAAATTAACTTCACAGAAGAAAAAAAGCTTGAAAGCTGCAAAAATAACACACTCCCTCTGCTGTGGATTCAAAAAGACTTTCAAATACAATAATAGGGAATTCAAATCCAACCGATCCCTGCCGTGTTCGGTCGGATCATTCTGGATTTTATTTATTGTGATTTCAACCAGACATTGCTCTGTTTTTTTTTTTTGCACGGAGAGGACCGGTCAAACCCCCATATTAGCGGAAAATCTCCATTTATATGCAGCAGTGTGGTGCGGCTTTGAAATGGAGAGGAGAGATGGAGTCAGATGGAGTTATAGTTTCATTTATTCAAGGTTTATTAATTTCTAATTAGTTAGAAATGGAGTGTGCTTTGCCCTTCAAGTAAAGAGTCTTAGGACTCTTGAAAACACATCTCACATAAATCAGAGTAACTTGGAATATACTTTCAGAGGGTCTTATTCCGTTTGCCGCTCTCTGTACTAATACGTTGTTGTAGGTCTATTTAACGACATCATCTGCATAGTGAGATGTTTACATGATCCAAACATACAGCAGATGGTTACACTGCAATTACTGCAAAGAATCAAAGAGAGGAGTCGTTAAGATGGAAAATACGGCTGCTTTATCATTTGAGGCAAACATTGAAGTTGTAAATGCAGGAAATACGTTGCTTCCCAGTGGGCCAATCACAGGGCGTGTGGTTACATTTTTGAGCCAAGGCTATTCAAATATGTTGTTCAAGGGGGCCACATTTTTTAGAAAGCTAAGGACCCAGGGGCCAGACAAGCAAGCCCACCACAGCAGTACAGTGCACAAAGCTGTTTTTTTGTTCCTTTAACAACACAAGCTTGTGATAGGCTGCGAGCACAGGACCAAAGATGTTCTAATAAACTGGAGCGACCTGCTGTTTTAAACACTTTACTATGGCAACAATTTCCGCCCCTGCTTATCATTATTATTAGTTTTTAACTGATCTGCGGGCCAGTCTGATGTCATCTGTGGACCGGAGTTGGGCCGCCAGTTGGGTATGCTTTTAAGTTGCCAGTTTGTGCTTGACTAAAAAAATTATATACTGATACCAACACATCTTTGTCAGGCTTTACATAATCTGGCACTTCTGTGGTATTTGGGGGTTGTAATGCGTCTGTCTTCATTTCCCATACTTTATACTTTACATACTAATGATGGCCTTGAATGCAAAGATATAACCTTTTTGTAAACACACTCACAGCAATCAAACAACATTCGAAATCCACCACACCCTATGCCACATTCCTTTCCGACTCCATTTAAAAAGAGAAGCATCACTTCCTTGTTTAGTCGACATCAGTTATGTGGACATTATGTAATGCTTCCTGCTGCTGGTTTTCTTGTTTGTTACGTTAATCCCAAGTTCCTCTGAAAAGAGGAAGACCTGGGTTTGAAGTCATTCTGTTTTTTTGGTGTATGACAGAAACTTCAAAACTCACGACGCCCAAACAGCAGCTTGGCTGATTTCACTGCTGCAGAAAACAAAACAAAAACTGCAGGTGGAGAGAATTAGTCAAAATTAGACGTTATGTTGGCGGCGTACAGGTGAGTAACTGATGAGCTGGCCCCGTCAGTAATAAGGCTCTTTTACATAAGCCGAGACCTCACATGCAGTTCAAAGGGACATCAGGTCATCAGAAGATGGAGTGCTAAATGTTTTCTCAAGCTGTGGAATATCCTGCAACACTTTTTTTTTTTTGATGAAGCCAAACATGCTAAGTAGGTCAGCGCAGAGAGCGTGAAGCGGTGTAGAGGTATTCCCAAGATGTGGGCTGATTTATCTCTGGGTTTTCCTTTTTCTGATGTTGCGAGTGACTTAACGACGACTGCAGTGTTACACCTATGCAGAATTTCTGCCTGGCTGCTGTGCCAACTCGATTTCTGTTAATAGATTTTTTTTTAAAAGTGCATGGGAGTTTATTTTTGCAGTTGTCAGGTCTGGATAAGTATGCAGAAAATGAAAACAGAGAATTGAAAATTGGGGATTTTTTGCACTAATGTGGCTTTATTGTAATGTATTTCTATCATTTAATTGCCTTTAATCATTGTGAAATATCATTCATGTGTTGAAGCAGTATCTTTTGTGTTTTGCAGTTGAGAACAGAAGCAATTAAATCTTGTTATTTCATTTTGTTTTTCCACAATGCCTGTAGCAAGTAAATAAGTTAAGGACATAAAATGTGACTGCTGCTACACATTGTAATCTCGTTCTCTTAAATTAATAACTCAGAGTGCGCTCAGCTGGTCATATTAAAGCTGCTGATTAAACAAGCACAACAGACTTTATGCAGAGATTTATTGTAAATACGCTTCCCTTTGCAGGTTAATTGCGGGAACTACTAATATGATTTACAGTCATTTAAAAGCCTACACCTACAGTACATTACCGTAGTGTTCTGCTTCAGCGCCACAGTGCGAGTCTCCCGGCTGCTGGTAGTGTGCACTCATCAGCCTGCATTCATCAGGCCTGTCAGGACAGCGGTGCTGACTGAGGCTCGGCGGCCAGGTGTCCCCGCTCCCTCGCGGCCGTCCCATCCATTACAGTCAGAGCCGAGAGAAACCTGGCCGTAAAATTAGGAAGCACAGACCCGCAGAATTGGGGTCAATAGACTGTACGTTCCTGTTCAGATCAACACGCTGACCAGCTGCCAGCTGGGCGGGCAGGCCGACGGCGGCCTTACAAAGTCTGATAAAGAGTACATGTTTTATGAAAAGAGAGCACTGCTTGTCACATCGTTTAATTTAAAAGCTTGCAGCAGAATTCCTGATAAAGTTATGATGGATTTAAGTTTTAACTGAGCTGACATAAAACTGCTTATTTATGTCACTTTATATTTACGATATCAGGAAACTGCTGAAATGTTACATTCTCAGGACACCCTACCTTAAGGAGTGTGTATATATATATGTATATATATAAGAACATAATTTAATTTGTTTATGTTTCAATGACAGTGTTTAAGTCTGCCAAGGACTCTGATCTGAGCTTTCTCAGGCTAAATAAACTGACACATGTAAGCCCCATGAACTTTTAATTCACAGTAATTTTGAAATGAATATGCAAGGGAGGGAAAAAAGGAGGTAATTAAAAAAAAGAAATAGAATATTGATGGCTTGACTTCAAAGATTTATATCTGATGATTTTTTGTTTGCACTGTCTGAGCTGTAAGCTGAGAGTACTTTACTTGCTTTTTGAATTCAACTACACTTTTATTTTGAAAAAATTTGAATTTTAAAAGCAAGGACCCCCATGTAGATTGAAGGTTACAACATTATTTTAACCACGCAAAAAGACGCTCTTTAGGAATCAAAAATTTATGAAAACAGCTGAAAGGGACGATTAAAACAGGGAAATGTTTCATGTCACAAGGTGGATATTTGTACTCGTCAGCTGAGCTGTCTGAGAGTTTATTAAAGTGAAATGAGACATTCAAAAGATGCAGCAATGTTGTTCTTTTAAATCATTGAGTACAAGAAGACATTGAAGGCTTATCCATGGTGCGCCTAAAGGTACAAAATAGCTCAAGATTAATTAAAAAAAACCAGTGCATTAATTTCAGACCTTAATCACATAAAAATAGTTATTACTGACAGCCCTAGTTGTGAGCGATACTCATCACACATGACTTAACTTTAAAAGATGAAGATTGGATGGATTCATGGTATTTGCCGACTGTTTTCCTGCTTCCTCTGAATCTCCTTCATGTCTGTGGTCGACAGCTGATTGGGAATTAACAGAAATGTAATTATTCGGTAATATAAATCTATTATTTTGTAATATATTCATCCAGTGCTTTCAATTTAGAATATGGGAATCAACCATTCCGAGCAATTAGCAGACAAATAAAGATTTTTATATCTCTTCTTTGCCTTCATTGCCATATTTGTCAAACGGATCGGGATCATGATTGGAGTAATTGCTCATATTAATGCATGTGTTCATGAAGGGTCGACAGGCCAGTAAAAACTCATTCAGTTCTTTACCTCCGTTTCTTTCCCTCCGTGCCAAGAAGCAATTCTGGCTCTCTCTCCCTGGTGACACTCTGAATCTTAAGGGCAATCAAGAGTCTGTCAATATCTTTGATCAGGATTTCACTTTTGTGCTGGTACAAAGCCACATGTCAAAGGAACACCACTGCAGGGCCTGGAGTCTCAATCGTTCCTAGCTTCTGGGTGTTCATTACACTGAGCGAGCAGAAAACAAAAGTGCTGATCAGAATTTTACAGATTAGGAAATGCGTAAAATTTAACTATCTACAAGAAGGGATATGATTAGTCCTCTTTGTGAAGCCATTGTCTCGCTGTTATCATTTGTCAGCGTGTGCTTCTCCTTCCAAGTCTTTGTAAGATAGGCTGATTTGTAAAGAAAACAATCCAAACCAGGAAACCTCAAACAATAGCTTGAGAGAGTCATTTTCCACCGCCAGCCTCCGTCTCCCGTCACTGGACAGGAGAGGTCTCTCTGCCCGGTCTCTCTCCTGGGAGTCTGGATGCTTTTTCCACCCCTAGACCTGAACAAGGTTAAAGAATGCTAAAAGAAAAAGTGATGAATAGAAAGAAATAAAGGTCAATTTGTTCATAAAACTGAGAATATGGGGAAAGATGTTGCAAATGGCCGTACAAGAAATGAATTTTCCTGTAAATGGGGTCACATGAAAGTCAA